GTTTCTCATCCCCTGGACAGTTTAACCTAGTACACCTATACTGCATGCATACTTTCAATATTATGCTTAGAGCAATGTCATAATTATTAATTTACTGTGAAATCCTTGAAAACGGGATCACATATTATTCATCTTTTCATCCTCAGAAACTAAGTAAGGGCTTGAGATAGAGAGCAATAAATGGTTATAGAATTAACAGAAATTACATGTGCTATGTGCAACCTAAATTTTAATTTTACATTTGACAAATCCGGGTAAGGGGTTAAAGAGAGTTCTTTGTACTATCCTTACAAGTCTTCAGAAGGTCTGCAATTTTTTTTTTAAAACACACATGCACATGTCCGACAAGCCCTTATTTGGATCAAATATTTTTCTTCACTACAATACCACATAAAACCAGAAAGAGCACATTTAAAAAAAAAAAAAAAGTAGCTATATTGACCTCAACTATTAAAGAAAAAGAAATGATTCGAAATTTTAGGTGTTCAAATCTTACTACTTCTCTCCCCAATCTGTTATGTGAATTGTACATATATCACCTTTAGATACATAAAACATTATTTAGTTATCACTGTTACAGACAGTGGTGAAGATTAAGACTTTAGACCTCGATTCCTTAAAACTAACACTAAGCAGAAAATTTTACTAAAATAGTAATTTAAAAAATCTTATAAATTGAAGTTGTTTTGCCATAAGCTGCCCAATTAGTGTTAAACTAATCTATTACGGAAAGGTGATCTATTTTTGTCATATAATTGTGAAAAAATGCATACAATTCTACACAGCTACAATTCAGTAAAAGCTCAATCTAACAGTAGTTTGTGGGCCGCCCATAATTTGCAAGGCGCTGTGCTGTGGTTATCACGGACGAGCTGAATGAGATATTATTTCCGCCCTATGGAGGCTCGGGCTTCTTTAAAGTACTGGAAGAAGGGAGTGATGGGAAGAAGAGGGCAATAGCCGAAATAAAATTGGCGAAATACTGATCACTGCTGGTTGGACCTGGGGATGGGTACATGAGGGTTCACTGTATGATTCTCCACTTTGTGTATTTAGGGGGAAATGCTGTAGCGGGTTTTGCTGATCGTTCGACATTATCTACCTTGAGTTCTGATAACCTCTGCATTCATTCACCTTCCCTTCTTTATTGTTGACTTTCTGAATGGCAGGCACTTCACAAGTCGTACCTTCACCAATTCAAAAGCACCTACAAGTTTCTCGTGCATACTAAGAACTGACGTTTCCTGAACTGAATTTGATCGAGTCAGATTTGTTAATTTAGCAGGAGAAAACAGACTGTCGCAGCTAGTAAGCTATAAAATGACTCCCATCGACCAGGCTTCTAACGAGGTAAACCAAGAGTCTGACCTCGAGTGTGCCCAATAAATGTGATTACGTCCCTCGAAGGCCAAGTCTCCCAACCCCTCCGTCAGAGACTTCACTTTTGATTACCCCGCTTTCCCTCTTAAAGGGGTTCTACTCACCTATCTGGAAACCAGTGCCCTCAACCTCACATCACATCCTCCTCCCTTCACTCCCAGAAATTCCCTGTCTTCAAGTCATTCTCCCCTTCACCTTCACAAGGCCCAGGATCTTCTCGCTGCCAACCCCCATACATTTTTGCCAACTAACCCCTAGACAGCCTTCAGGTCTTAATTTAAATGTCAATTTCCCAGAGACTTTTCTCTGACTGCCCCTCCCCGCCCCCAGACCAGTACCTCCTCCTTCCCCTCCTCTCGGCTCTTTCAAGAGTGGCCTTACTTAAAGATTCACTGCACTTAACTGCAGTGACTGTTTTCCCAAGCAGGAAGTATGTCTGGCTTAGTCACTGCTGTTTCTCCAAGGCCTGAAACAGTTCAAAGAACACAGGAGGGACTCGCCAGACATCAGGTGAATGAAGGAAGCCCAGGGGACAAGATCTCATCTGCTCTGCAAATATTTCCTGGGCACCATCATGTGCAAGGCCCATGCTAGCCTTCAGTGGATTCCTATCAAGCCCTCAGTAAGCTTACTTACAGGAGACATGAGACATTCATCATAAAAACAGTATTTATCACTTTACAGTTTCAGACGCTTTCATATCTATATCTCATTTTCTAAAAATTGTGTTATGTAAATATTATTTCTCATTTAACACATGAGAAACAGGTTTCATACATAAGTAACCTGTCTAACATAATTCAAAAAGCAAATGACATAGCAACCAGATAAATCCAAGCTATCCTTCAAGGAGAAGAGCGCTAGAGAAAGCCTGAGTGCTTTGAGTTTGGAGAAGTTACTCCCACTGGGATATCGTGGAAGCATCACTTTGTGCTGATCCTGGAAGAGTAGGTCCAACAGGTGGGAAATGAATGAAGGGCATATAGCAGGCAAAAAGAGCAGCATGAAAACGGAGAGTGTTCACTGAGGGACTCTGTAGTGTCTGCCCAGGAATAACGTGGAGGGAATATTTAAGTAAACGGTGAGCACTAAGACTGGAAAGTAAGAGCAGTTAGATCTGCAACCTCTTCAAAGATAAGAGCTGTCTCTCCTTTGTTCTTATGGCCCCAGAACCTATTACTGGTCTAGGACAAGTAGAAACATCATAGGTACCTTGTCAAATAGAATAACTGCATAGGCAAACCTAAAGATTTCTCTTCTGCGGTACTTTGCCTGCCCACAGCTCCTGCTTTCCTCAACAGCCATGTTCTCGCCCATCAGCCATAAGCAGGGATGGGCATACGATCTGTAACATACGACTCTCAAAAACATAAGCCGGGCCAATCGAATTCCTCTCTAGAGAACTGAGAATTAGAAACCAGAGACCCAATCATTATGCACCATGTGCAAAATGACAGTTTTGAGACAACCAGTCAGCGGAGGGAGAACCCAACAGATACCGACGGACAGAGAGAAAGACTCCTCACAAGTGAGAAAACAAATGTGGCCCCTGAGAGAGATGCTCCCTTGGATCTTGATTCCGTGCTGATTCTCATTCAGTCCTATAAATCTCCCTTTCCCTGAGGTAAAAGAGTCAGTCTGTTCCTTGCCTTCTAAACAGTCCTAACATCGTAGCAGATAAAGCAGGGAAACTGACAGTTCTTGAACAGAAGCAGGAAGAGGGGGATGACACCCTCAAGCGGTCCTAGGAAAATTTACCTCCCAGCAATGTATGTGGCCCAGACTAGAAAACCACAAAGAGTAAGGACCCTGGATGCCAGTCAAGGAACGACTAAGAGACAACCCACAGGACAGGGGACAGGTGGTGAGGATGGAGAATGAATGAGGTATGAACTTGACAACGTAAAATCCCCCACATTTGACACTCTGATCTACCAAAATATCCAGAAGATTTTAGGTGTAGAAAAGAAACTATGTGACTGACTGGAGGCGAAAAGAAGAGATGGAAGATGATCAGACGCCAAGCACAGGAGACGCGGGTGGTGCTGCTCTAAACAAAAGAGGGACAGGAGGATGCGGGACTTTGCTCTGCATGGTTATCGCCACCCCCTTCCCTACCCGTCTGCTGGGTGAATGAGGCTGTGGGGTGCTTTGGCCAGGCTGAATGTGAGGTGCTCCAAAAAAGCTAAATTGGAGAATCCGGCCAATATCTGGAAAAACAGATCTGGAAATCACGCACACAAAGAGTGCAGACAAAGATTCTCAAACTTGTGAGCATCAGAGTTACTTGGGAAGCGCGTCAATACTAAGCTTGTCAATAGGTATTCCTTGGGGTTCACCCCCAGATAATCTCACTCATACACCTGGGGTGGGCCCCGAAATTGACATTTTAACAAGCATCCCAGAACGATCCTGATGGAAGTGTCCAGTCCATGCTAGTCAAGCTGGAGAACAAAGAACACCGCCTGGGAGCAGCACTTCTCAACCTTGGCTCGGTACCACATACACTACGGTGCCTCCACCAAAATTCAGATATCTGATCCTCACCGTCGTCGAAGTGCGGACAGAGACAAAATGGGTCAGAATCACCCCTTGGGGTCGGGAGCCACACCCCAGGCCAGCAGGCTGGGAATCGCCCAGGCTAAGGCTAAGAAAGCTACATGTTTAACCAGCGCCCCTAAAGGCTAGCAGAAATGGCTCCATAAACAGTTATTAATAAGAAAATATTCTTCGTTGGTTTAAACATTTCTATATGTCACAGCTACTTGAAAGAAAAATAATTCAACATTGCTGGTTGACAAAGAAATCGTTTCCCTCTAAATAAATCACTGAAAGCGTCGTAATCGACGGCTTGCTGACATTGTGCCGGGCGTAGAAAGGCCAGCGCAGGACAATGGAGCAATGGAGCCCAATTTGAAAACAAAGGGAGAAAACCAACCACCTCGACCTCGGAAGCCCCAAGAAAGACACCGCGGACGCCAGCCTCGGCCGCAGCAGCCGAAGGGGTTCTCCGGGCGGTGGGTGTGCCGGCCGCCGCTCCACAAAAGAAAAAGAACTGTGTCACTAACAGCCACCCTCCCACCCGAGGCGCCTCTCGACCCCCGGAGACGACCGCCTGGGGCAGCAAGTCTCAGACCTTCCCGGCGCCGCAGCCAGCGCGGACTGCTCCGCGGAGCCGGGCCCGAGGCCCCGGATGCCCGGCCGCGGGCCCCACACCCGGCCTCGCCCCCTCCCCGCCCGGCCTCGCCCCCGCCTCCTCCAGGTCACCGCGCACAGCCGACCACCGCATTGACCGTCCCGCAGCCCGACCTGAGGACAGCTCCGGCGGAGAGGGCGCGCTTTGCCGCAGGCGCCGTCAGAACACCGGCAATGGACACACCGCGGCTTGCAGCGAGCCGCCCTCAACA